CTTGTTTCTTTGTGTTACATTCTGGATTGATTCTTAAGTATTTCTTTCAGTCTTTGTGATTCAACTGTGTCAAATTTGCTATTGAAATACAAAATGCAAGATGAATTTAAACATTGATTTCAAGAAGTTCTGTTTTCTTTTTCAAATCTGCCTGATCTAGTCTCTTGCTGCTTGTTCATATTTTATGTCTTTGCAACGTTTCAGATAATACTGTTTTATACTTTATGAGAATTTGAATATCTGAAACCTTAGCTGATCTGAGGGTAGGGTGGTTAGTACGAATGTGTAGAGCTGTAAATCATTTTTGTTAACTTATTCATAATGCACTGTGTCCTTGATATGTGTTTTTTCCTTGGGAACTCAACATAGTTTTGTTCTACCTTCAATACAAACATTCAACTTTGGTATTTCACTTAACCTTTTGTTGTTGGACATCTTTTCATGACAGTAAGTGCAGACCATGTATTTTTGATGGTTCCACTCTGTGTTTTTCTATGGATGTACCATAATTATGTCCATTTCAACTTTTTAGTTAAATGGAGGGAGACTCTGTAAGACTTGACTGTTTTCTCATCAATCCTCCATGTAATCCTTCCATGCTTCTCCCCAAGCCTTTTTATAAGTCTTTTGAGTGCTTTCTTATGCAAGATACTGTGCTAATAAACTCTTTCTGTGAGTTATATGAATATATCTTTACAGACAACCCAGAGGGAGGTGCCGTTATTTTCACTTTACAGAGGAGAAGGCAGTGGTCCAGAGAGGTCACATGGCTCTCCTGGGGGTCACACAGCTGGACGTGGGCAAAGGCGTCTTGTAAACCAAGCAGCCTGACACCAGAATAGTGAGGACTGGTCTTCCACTACAGCTGGTTTGTGAGGCACTGTAGGTTGATTGATAAAAAAACTTGGTAGCAATTAGAGTCCTTCATAACCTCGAGATCCTCGAGCTCTTCTGTCCTGCAGGTCACCCTTTGTTGCTGTTTGCTCTCTCGGCCTGCAGTCCTGTAAGTGACCTAAGCATCTGGGTTACAGTAGCACAGTTGCAAGGGCTAATAAAGATTTTGCTGTGATGCCTGTGTGCTTACTGATTGGCTGGCAATACTGGAATGGAACAGATAAGCTCTTTAATTTACCGATTATTCATTGTTTTTACAATAGGCCTGGAGTGCAAGTGTGTATGTAACCTTGTGCTCCCACAGACTAGGTGGTAAATTCCAGTTCTGACACCTGTAATTGAAATCATCTCTCTCATTCTCCTAGTCAAAGAAACAAAGGTACTTCATGGACTGTGTCACCTGCCACCCACCCCTCCCTTGCTGGTGCTGGTGCAGAACCACTGCAGGACTGTGTTTGGTGTTGACAAACCCACTGGTATGCCTGGTACTTGACTGATCCCTGAAGAGGCACCAGCCATCAGTCATGAGTTCTGTTGAACTCTGAGCGTCATCCAGAGCAAGCCACGTGTGCTCTGGTGAACCAAGTGGAGGGACGGTGGACGGAGCGCAGGGTTTTATTCACTTCCCTGGCTTTGTGCTGGGTTGGTTCCTGCTATCGTAACAGTTTGGTTTCCAATGCCCTTTCAAACTGAGATGTTAAGATCGTTAAAATGTGGGTCATTAAAATGTGACTAGGCAACAGAATAGTCAATTTAAATTAATAATACATTTAAATAGATTCCTAAATTTATTTATTTATTTATTTATTTTTTTTTTTTTTTAATTTTTTTTTCAATGTTTATTTATTTTTGGGACAGAGAGAGACAGAGCATGAACGGGGGAGGGGCAGAGAGAGAGGGAGACACAGAATCGGAAACAGGCTCCAGGCTCTGAGCCATCAGCCCAGAGCCCGACGCGGGGCTGGAACTCACGGACCGCGAGATCGTGACCTGGCTGAAGTCGGCCGCTTAACCGACTGCGCCACCCAGGCGCCCCTAGATTCCTAAATTTAAATAATTAAAATAATAAATAGAGCCTGCCTGGGCTCTTAAGCGTGAGAGCTTCAAGGTATCTTAGTTTTATGGTTTTTTGTTATTAAAACAATTAAGCAGTCAACTTAAAAGTAATTTTTAAAAACAAATGCTAATGTTGGGGCTCCTGAGTGGCTCAGTGGGTTGAGCATCCAACTTCAGCTCAGGTCTTGTGGTTCGTGATCTTGTGGTTCGTTGAGTTTGAGCTCTGTGTTGGGCTCTGTGCTGAGGGTTCAGAGTCTGGAGCCTGCTTTGGGTTGTGTCTCCCTCTTTCTCTGCCCCTTCCCCACTTGTGCTTGCTCTCTCTCTCTCTCTCTGTCTCTCTTTCTCAGAAATAAATAAAACATTAAAAAAAACCACAAATACTAATGTGTAATCTTGGTAGTCATTTGTATCTTCTTTTGATTATATGTTTTACCTATGGCTGCTATTAAATATTGCCTGCATTTCTTGCTTTGGAAAACTGTTCTCTTCCTTGTGCTTGATAGATCATGAATTGCATCAGCCCACATGATTTTGGTTTTGGCACTTGGATTTTCTTGTCAGCAGTGAGTGGTGCTGCTGAGAGTTTTTGAATTCTGCTTTCTCCGCCTACCCTTGATCTCCAAAGTACTGTTGATAAAGAACAGAAGAACTAAACAATCACCCTGAAATATCCTATGAAATTTGTGCTCTGATCATAATAGCAGTGGGTCAGAATGAGCTGTGTTTTCCTTATTCACAGAAAATCTAAGTGCTTACTTAGAGTATGGTTGCCTGAATATGTGGTGACTAAGGAGAAGATAATTTTTCTAAGAATTTTGGTGTTTATTTTTCCCACAGTACTTGGTAAATTTCTCCTGTCCTGCCCCCTTCCCTTTTTCTCTTCTGTACCCCCCCCCCTTTTTTTTTTTAAACATTGGACTTCTGGTAGGATGGGGAAGGAATGGTGGAGACCTGCTTTCTGCTCTAGTCCTCATATTTATAGATCCCAATGGTTACTGCTAGGAGAGTGTCAAAATAGCTGGTGCAAATATGTGAGTACAGTATACAGAGTCGCCCAGTTTCTACACACAGCATCTAGAACCATATTGAACATGCAGATAGGGTTACAGATATTTTAAAAATTTTCCCCAGATTTCCCCAGTTCTCAGCTTTACAGACATATACAGAACACAACCTCCTTCAAAACATTTCTAAGTTTTCATATTTTCTTTTCAGAGTTTATGGAGTTATAGGTGAACCATGATTCACTTATTTAGCTTTTGAAATACAATTTTGTTTTTGAATTTGGATGTCTTTAAGTATGTTGACATTGTCAAGCATTTCAGATAAAAAGGGAGATAGATTGGTAAAACCGATGAGATTTTTTGAGGTAGCCTGTTTTATCTCTGCTCTGTCCCCCTGTTTTTCTGACTGCTAGTGTCTGGGGCTTGCTTCTTAGCACCTGGGCCACTCTTTACTGAACTCTTGGCTTTTCTGTGGGGGGAACACACTGGGAAGATAATTCATTTACAGCTTAAATAAAAGGCTTGTTTTGGAATTAGGGGAAGAAAAAGCCAGGACTAAGGCTGAAATTGGGCCCCTGATGCACGTGGCATGGGAGACAGCTGAGTGGGGAAGTCAGTGGCTACTGACTGCCTGTGTGACTCACGGCTCATACTCTGATAATCAAGTTTTTTTTACCCCTGGTTGTCAGTACACTCTGTCTGATCTTTCAGAAATTTCCTCTGAGGCTATATTGGATACAGCATCTTATCTTTTGTCATCATTTATGTGTTCCTTCCTAAAGTGACCTGTGACCAACTAGAAAAAGGGTGAGTGAGGTTTTACAGCTTGGGCACCTGGACTCCTGTGCTCCCGTATCTTCTCCTCTGGATGTCAGATGCTGTGGGAGGCAGGGTAACACACAGAACCAAAAAGTGCCAGAAACTTCGCTAAAGGAGGCCTTTGATGGAATCTGTGTAACCCCCGGTAACCCCTGTGAAGTTAGATAGGCTGTAACCAGCTTCCACCAGCAGTTCCTCCTGTTATTCAGGGCTCCTTGAGCGTGCATTTTCCGTTAATGGGCTTTGCCTAGAATTAAGCAGCTATTCTAAATGGTGAATAATTTTGTTAGCTAAAGCCTCAGCCTCTCATGACCAGCGATGTGTCACTTACTTTGGAAGGCACTTTAGAGCAGATCCAGTGCTCCTCAACACTTCCCCACCCCCATCCTTTTAACATTTTGCTGCTTTCCCTGGGAAGAATTGCAAAGGACACCAGGTGCCCCGGGAAATACAGGCCCTGCTAATTATCAGAGTGCTTTTTCTTAATCGAGATATAATTCACATACAATAAAATTCATCCTTTTAAAGTGTACACCTCATTGATTTTTAGTATATTCACGAGGTTGTGTAAACTGTTAGCACTAATTTCAGAACATTTTCATCACCCCAAAAAGAAATTCTGCACTCATTAGCAGTCATTCCCCATCTCCCACACATCCCCTCCCCCAGCCCCTGGCAACCACTAATCTACTTTTTATCGCAGAGTACTGTTTTATATTACACTGAAATCTGTTGTCCCTGCAACTTAATGGTTAGATGGAGGGGGAGGCAGGGGTGGAAGCTACGAGAACACACACTTGGGGCTTAGCCTCTTATTTCCAGCTTCTTACTTCCAGGCCCCAAGTGCAGAAGGGGAGGGTGGTCTGCTGAGCCTGAGTCTGGCTCTTCTTGCTTGTGATCATATACACCAGTTGTCTAAAATACCGAGTGTGTGGCAACACGCAAGAAAGTTGAGTCTGACCTGATAAGAAAAATAATTTATGGCAAACACCCTTTTAAATAGTAAGTGCGGTATCACTAGCAAAAGCCTTACAGTTCCCCTCTACCTTTTTGTTCTGTAACTTTTAGAATAATCAGAAATCAAATTGTGTAGGATGTTGTCAGTCAAAACCAGAAAAACAAGTAGCTTAAACAGATTGCAGGCTTAGATACGTGAGTTAAGTGTGCCTCCATACATACTTGGGATTCCTGCCCATTGGCCCACCTGGAAGTGTGTGACTTGTAAAGAGGAGTGGGGACTCATTTCAAGGGGGAGAGTAAGTACCTTCAGCCGTGGAGTGGAGAGGAGAGTAGGGCCCTGGGAAGGGCTAACAAAACATCCAAGTGTCTGGGAGCCCTCGGGAACCTAGGGATATCTCCCTGGGCGCTCTTGGATGGAAATAAACATTTATTAGCTATGTTCAGCTCTCCGGGCATATCCCAAATGGTTTCTTAAAGAACTTGAGTGCTGGACCTGGTCCCAAAGTTCTCACTTTTTCTATAGCTCTGTTTCTCAGTTGAAATACGACATGCTACTCTCTTTTGTAGAATTGTTTGACAAGCAGTTCTGGGGACTGAAGGACTTCCTTTCGGCCACTGACAGGAGAGCACAGAGGACAGACTCAGAAACCCAGTCTGTTTGGGCACGGATGCTGGATGCTGGGGAAGCTAGAGAATATGTCCAGAAATCTGAGCCACCAGATTTTGGGAGTGGTTGTCAGAGGCTGTACAATAAAGGTGGTAATTGTTTAGTGCTGGTTCCCTTTTGTTTCCTGCTCTTGGCTTTCATATTCTTGAAGTGACAGGTGCTGGCAACTTGGAATTGATATAGTTCTTTCTCCCTTGACTTGGCTGATAAAACAGGAACACATTGTTTGGGATTAATGCCTCAAAATGATGGGGTTTAAAAAGTGCATTGAGTAGAGTTGAGTTCACTTGAAACAAGTTTCCTATTTCTGAAAAGATTAATTTCCTTCAAGGATGGTTAGTTTTTTGGTGTGTATTCTGTTAAAATATAGGGTTGGAGAAGTGGTTCAGAAGAATATTTTCTTCTCGAATTATTCTGACCCTCTTTTCTTCTGTTCTTAAAATTCAGTAATGTCTGTCCTTGCTCTCACCTCCAAAAATGCCCAGTAGGGAAATTAATAAAGTAAAAAATAAAACTCCTCTCATCCACCCTTACTTTTCACCCATTGGATTCCTACCTCAGTAGCTACTTTATCACCATTTGGTGTGTATTTCCTTCCAATTACTATTCGTTGAGCATGTAGTGTGCATTGCTTTTATAATTGCTTATCCAAATCCTTTCAGTAATATCCTCAAAAGGTGAACTCTGCTTCAGTAAAAAAATGTTGCCTAGATATTTCAGCTTTATTACAGACCTTTGAGATGTAGTGACTTGCAGAGAGTTATCATGAATTGATGCACAGAATTGGACCTGTGTGCCATCTGATGAGCTCTCTGTATTCTACTGATTGGGGATTGATTCTAAAAACAGTAGAACAGTCTTTATGAATTTCTTCAAAACATCAATTTAAGAAGAAGGCCATCTGTAGTTCAGGGAGGCTCTTTGGGGGAATAGCCAGATTTTCTTTTAGGGTTGCCGCTCAGCCCCTCAGGTTTATGTGTCTTGGGGTGCACTGGTTCACAAGTAAAAATAGAGATCTAATTAAGATGAGTGCCCTTTCTGCAAATAAGAACATTATTTCCATTGTAAATTTCCTGTTTGCTTAACATATTTTTTGTTGTTGCTCTGTTTTAATTTTTTTTTTTTTTTTTTTAACAGCAAGCCAGGGCTGAGCAAGAAGAAGAATTCATCAGTAACACTTTATTCAAGAAAATTCAGGCTTTGCAGAAGGAGAAAGAAACCCTTGCTGTAAATTATGAGAAGGAAGAAGAGTTCCTCACTAATGAGCTCTCCAGAAAGTTGATGCAGGTAAATTTATCTTTTCTCGCCTTACATCTTCTCTGCCTGTTTTCCTCTCTAGGAAAAAAAATGACTTTGATAGAGTACTTTGCTTGAAACATTTATAGCCAAAGTTTTTTGGAGATTAAAAAGACCAGGTAAAGATGGCAGCAGTGTAATACTCCAGACTGGTTCTGTGACTCATCTGCTTGGGTAAGGGATTTTATGCTGTGGGCACCTGAAGAAGTTTCTGATGAGCCTGAAGCCTTAGCACAGGAGCAATTGCTGTAAGTAGTGTTTTGGAAATAGGAGGATTAACAGTAAATGTGGAATTTTTTTCTCCTTTTATGTTGATTCTGTAAGGAATAAATCAACATTTGTGTAGCAGAAATGGGTCTTCTGCATTAAAATATGAGGCTGTAAAGTGAAATGTCAGTTGGGGGGGGGGGGGAATACAAGATATCCGTGATCGGTAGTTAAAATTACATACAATCAGGTGTGTTCAAATGGGTGAGTAATAGGTTACTGAGCAAATAAGTATCAGACAGCTATTAAAACAGCATTAATCTCGGATAGGTTATAGAAGACACAACACAAAACATACAGGAAGGTTTGATTTTTCTCATTCAGAGTCTCCTTCCTTTACTCCTTTCTTTTCCCCTCAAAGCTTATAAATTACAAAAGTAAAATTTGTTTAGGGCAAATATTTTGTATGCTACTTACCATGAATTTAAGAATAAGTAGGAGGGGTGCCTGGGTGGCTCAGTTGGTTGAGCTACCGACTTCAGCTCAGGTCATGGTCTCATGGCTCATGGGTTTGAGCCCCACGGGGGGCTCTGCTGACAGCTCAGAGCCTGGAGCTGCTTTGGATTCTGTGTCTCCCTCTCTCTGCCCCTCCCCCCTTTGCGCTCTCGCTCTCTCAAAAATAAACACTAAAAATTTTTTAAAAAGAATAAGTAGGATATTAAGTTTTCATTACTGAGCACAGATTGTCCAAAATCACTAGCAGATACAAAATTATTCCAGGAGGATAAACTTTGTCAGGTGAGTGTGGAAGCTAGGTAGACACACCCCTTGTACCCTCCATGCAAGGGCATTGCTGACTGTTTCATTCATTGATTTGGTTGAAGTATGTATTTTAGTGAAGTTATAATAAAAGGATATTTGAGGCTTTTAAAAAGCTTCCTAAATCCTTTTCTTACCTTCCAACATGGACAATCCTGTGAGAGAAAGCCGGAAGCTTTGGTAAAGAAACTTTAATGTTAAGACTGGACAGTGCTTCAGTCAACTTTGACCCCATCTTTCTGCCTAATTACTGAATAAAGATACTGTTACCGTCTCACACAAAATTCGGTTTCGATGTCTGCTGTTGAAATATGAAGTGTAGAGGTAGCCAGGCATTATTGTCCTGCAGAGATTTATGGCACAGTTTCTGTGTGGAACTCGTTATTGATTCGTGTGCATTCAGATGTAGAGGAAAAAATGAGGGACAAGGTTAGTTTGACCTCTGACTCTCTCTCACCTTGGCAGCATCAGACAACTTACTCTGCATATTGCTTCTAGAACTAGAGGGATGCAATTACAGTTTGTTTTTCTTAGTTTAGCATGTAATCAGGTGCTCTAATTTTTAACACTGGAAGAAACAGTGTTTGCTTTCAACTTAAATGGCTATTAGTATTTAGAGTCTTTTACCAAATTATTTATAAAGCAGCCAAAACCTAGCCAGATCATGCTTCTGTTCTCTATAAAGGTTCATCTTCACTGTGAATGGTTCTATAGTGTGTAGTTTATTATCATAACCCACCTTTTTCCCAAAGACATTGATATCCCTTAAAATAAGGCACTGAAAGAACAGAAGAGCCATGTGCAACAGAAAAAGGAGGTGAATTTAAAGCTATAACCTGGAGAAATACAGTAATTTTTTTTTCATAATTCTTATATCTAAAAAAAAAAAAAAA